AGCAGCCGAGGACCACAAACTAGCAGCCGAGGACCACAAACTAGCAGCCGAGGACCACAAACCAGCAGCCTAGAACCACAAACCAGCAGTCGAGGACCACAAACCAGCAGCAGAGGACCACAAACCAGCAGCCGAGGACCACAAACAGCAGAGGCCCACAAGCCAGCAGCCGAGGACCAGGAACCGAGGATCACAAACCAGCAACCAATGCCAACAAACCAGCATCCAAAGAGCACAAGTCAGCAACTGAGGAGCACAAACCAGCACAGAGGACCACAAACCAGCAGCTGAGGACCACAAACCAGCAGCCTAGAACCACAAACCAGCAGCCAAGGCCCAGAAGCCAGAAGCTGAAGACCACAAGCCAGCAGCCGAGCCTCACAAACCAGCAGCCGGGGACCACAAACTAGCAACCTAGAGCCACAAACCAGCAGCCTAGAACCACAAACCAGCAGCCGAGGACCACATACCAGCAGCCAAGGTCCACAAACCAGCAGCAGAGGACCACAAACCAGCAGCCAAGGACCACAAACTAGCAACCTAGAGCCACAAACCAGCAGCCTAGAATTACAAACTAGCAGCCGAGGACCACAAACCAGCAGCCGAGGACCACACCCCAGCTACAAGTACTTGGGTGTACACATGAATGACAACCTCAGCTGGAGCAACAACACCACCAGCCTGATCAAGAAAGCTCATCAGAGACTCTACTTCCTCAGACGGCTGAGGCGAGCTGGTCTGGGAAGCTCAGTCCTCACCTCCTTCTACAGGTGTGCAGTGGAGAGCATCCTGTGCTCCAGCATCAACGTGTGGCATGGAGGCTGCACAGCTGCAGAAAGAAAAGCTTTGCAGAGAGTGGTGAAGGCTGCACAGAAATCTGTTGGAATCAGCCTCCCCACCATCACAGACATGTACACCTCCAGATGCAGGAAGAGGGCCACCTGCATCATGAAGGACCCCACTCACCCAGCACACACACTTTTTGCCCCACTCCCCTCAGGAAGGAGGTTAAGGAGCATTAAGTGTAGAACCACTAGACTGAGGAACAGCTTCTACCCTGAGGCTGTTAGACTCATGAATCTCTAACTAGAATAATCACAGTGAAAAACCATATCATGTTGCTGCTGATCTGTTTCATGTTGCTGCTGATCTGTTTCAATGTTGATGTGTTCATGCATGCACATCTGCTCACAGACTCATGTTCATGTTTGTGCTGATGTTCAATGTTTTTATGTTATGAGTGCTTAGTGTATATTTAGTTGATGTTTTTCTTAGTTCATATCTTAGATGTTATTACTGTTTTTCTTATACATTTTATTGTTGGATGTAACTGGGACCCTGTGTACATAATTTCGCTCCACCACATGTACCACATGAGGTGCGAATGACAATAAAGAAACTCTGACTCTGACAAATCAGCAACCGAGGACCACAATCCAGCAGCCGAGGACCACAAACCAGCAGCCAAGGTCCACAAACCAGCAGCCGCGGACCACAAACCAGCAGCCGAGGACCACAAACCAGCAGCCAAGGACCACAAACTAGCAGCCTAGAGCCACAAACCAGCAGCCGAGGACCACAAACCAGCAGCCAAGGACCACAAACCAGCACCGAGGGCCACAAACCAGCAGCCAAGGCCCACAAGCCAGAAGCTGAAGACCACAAGCCAGCAGCTGAGGAGCACAAGCCAGCAGCCGAGAACCACAAACCAGCAGCCAATGACCACAAACCAGCAGTCGAGCCTCACAAACCAGCAGCCAAGGCCCACAAATCAAAACAAAACCAAGTCCTCCATACTAAAGAGGAGAAGAACCATCAGCCTGGATCAGCTCATGGTCAAATAGCTGCCTCTCTGATGGTATGGGGGTGCATTAGTGTCTCTGGTATGAGCAGCTGACAAATCTGGAAAAACATCTGGTTCCCTCAGGTCCTCCTAAACCTCCAAAATCTGGTCTCCTCAGGCCCTTCAAAACCTCCAACTGGTCCCCTCAGATCCTTCAAAACCACCAACATCTGGTCTCCTCAGGTCCTCCTAAACCTCCATCATCTGTCTCCTCAGGTCCTCCAAAACCTCCAACATCTGGTCTCCTTAGGTCCTCCTAAACCTCCATCATCTGGTCTCTTCAGGTCCTCCAAAACCTCCAACATCTGGTCTCCTCAGGTCCTTCAAAACCTCCAACAACTTGTGCCCTCAGATCCTTGAAAACCTCCAACATCTGGTCTCCTCAAGCCCTCCTAAACACCAACATATGGTTTCCTCAGATCCTTCAAAGCCTTCAACAAATGGTCTCTACAGGTCCTCTAAAACCTCCAACAACTGATCTCCTCAGGTCCTTCAAAACCTCCAACAACTGGTCTTCTCAGGCCCTTCAAAACCTCCAACAAATTGTCTCCTCAGGTCCTCCTAAAACTCCAACATCTGATCTCCTCAGGTCCTTCAAAACCTCCAACAGTTGCTCTCCTCAGGTCATTCAAACCTCCAACAAATGTTCTCTTCAGGTCCTCCTAAAACTCCAACATCTGGTCTCCTCAGGTCCTCCAAAACCTCCAACATCTGGTCTCCTCAGGTCCTGGATGTTTCCAGACTGGTGTTAGAAGAAGAGATGTGTCTTCTCAGAGGAAACATGGAGCTGAACATTTTTGATCAGACCTGTTGATGACATCAGATTCTAAAATACCTGATCATTTTCTAAATTTCAACATTTGATCTTTAATCTGTTCCATTGTGATTAAAATCTGTTTACACAAGGTTTGTAACTCTTTGGTCTTATTTACATTTTAGACAACCTCCTAACATTTTCAGACGGGGGTTGTGTGCCATGAACATGAAGGTCCTCAGTGAAGTGGGCCAAACCAGACCTGTCTTCCTGCTCTGATGAGCTGATGAAGGTCAGATGTGATCAACCTTCTTCTTGTGTTTTCAGACTCTATGACGGTGCAGAGAGGAAAGAAGCTCAGCATCTCCATCCAGGAACACATGGCCATCAACGTTTGCCCCGGTCCCATCAGACCCATCCGACAGATCTCTGCCTACTTCCCCCGCTTGTCCCCCACCTCCCCCACGCCTGTCTCACCTAACCCCGCCCTGTCTCCTAACCTCGCCTGCTCGCCGCCTTCCCTCAGTCCCCCAGCAGCTGCGATGGGCGGAGTTCACCTCTTGTCACCTCTGCGCGCCCACAGCAGGTGGGGTGGGGGTGGATCTTTGTCCCAGAACAGCAGCGTGGACACGTCGGTGGACATCAACAGTGACGACAGTGATGACTGCAGTGAGCCTCGCTGTTGGCATGTGTATGTTTGTGTCCATTTGTTTGTTTGTGTCTGTTTGTGTCCATTTGTTTGTTTGTTTGTGTCTGTTGGTTTGTGTTT